AAAAATCTTTAAATCTTAAAAGATGATGCTGTTAAAGTGCTGCACTCAAAATACCAGCAAATTTGGAAAACTAAGGTCAGTTTTCATTCCAATGCAAAAGAAGGGCAATGCCAAGGAGTGTCCAAACTACGAGTACAATTGCATTTATTTTGCATGCTGGCAAGATTATGCTTAAAATCCTTCAAGCTAGGTTTTAGCAGCATAAGAACTAAAACTTCCAGATGTAAAAGCTGGGTTTAGAAAAGGCAGAGGAACCAGAGATCAAATTGCTAACATTTGTTGGATCCTAGAGAAAGCAAGAGAACTCCGGAAAAAAATCTACTTCTGCCTGATTAACTACACTAAAGCCTTTAAATGTGTGGGTCACAACGAAGTGTGGAAAATGCTTAAAGAGATGGGAATACCAGACCACCATACCTGCCTCCTGAGAAATCCATATGCAGGTCAAGAAGCAACAGTTAGAACTGCACGTGGAACAACTGAATAGTTCCATGAAATGGTTCGATGAAAACAGAGAAAAGAGTATGGCAAGGCTGCATATTGTCACCCTGCTTATTTAACTTATATGCAGAGTACATCATGAGAAACGCTGGGCTGGATAAATCACATGCTGGAATCAAGGTTGCCAGGAGAAATATCAATCTCAGATATGCGGATGATACCACTCTAATGGCAGAAAGTGAAGAGGAACGAAAGAGACTTCTCATGAGGGTAAAGGAGGAGAGTGAAAAATCTGGCTTAAAACTCAACATTCACTGCGAGTCGGGACCAGGGTCTGGTGCAGAAAGCCCTTCACTATGGGACATGGGGCCTGACTAGAAAGGCGGCCACACCCTCACACATCCTACACTCCATGTTCCTGGGGAACCTGGTGCTAAACCATTGGTAGAGGACCTGCTTCTGGGTCTGGGTTTCATTTCCAGCAGAGCAACTCCCTTGCTGCGATCTATTGAAAGTCAGACCTTGACACAAGGGTTTGTAAAAAGAAAAAAAATAACAACATTCAGAAAACAAAGATCATGGCATCTGGTCCCATCACATCTTGGCAGATCAGTTCAGTTCAGTTGCTCAGTCATGTCTGACTCTTTGCGACCCCATGGACTGCAGCACACCAAACTTCCCTGTCCATCACCAACTCCCGGAACTTACTCAAACTCATCCATCGAGTTGGTGATGCCATCCAACCATTTCATCCTCTGTCATCCCCTTCTCCTCCCACCTTCAATCTTTCCAAGCATCAGGGTCTTTTCCAATGAGTCAGGTCTTTGCATCAGGTGCCCAAACTATTGGAGTTTCAGATTCAGAATCAGTCCTTCCGATGAATATTCAGGACTAATTTCCTTTAGGACTGACTGGTTTGATCTCCTTGGAGTCCAAGGGACTCTCAAGAGTCTTCTCCAACACCACAGTTCAAAAGCATCAATTCTTCAGCGCTCAGCTTTCTTTATAGTCCAACTCTCACATCCATACATGACTACTGGGAAAACCATAACTTTGACTAGACTGATATTTGTTGGCAAAATAATGTCTCTGTTCTTTAATATGCTGTCTAGGTGTGTATAGCTTTTCTTCCAAGGAGTAAGCGTTTTTTAATTTCATGGCTGCAGTCACCATCTGCAGTGATTTTGGAGCACTAAAAAATAAAATCTGCCACTGTTTCCATTGTTTCATCTATTTGCCATAAAGTGATGGGACTGGATGCTGTAATCTTAGTTTTCTGAATGTTGAGCTTTAGGCTGACTTTTTCACTCTCCTCTTTCACTTTCATCAAGAGGCTATTTAGTTCTTATTCACTTTCTGCCATAAGTGTGGTGTCATCTGAATACCTGAGGTTATTGACATTTCTCTTGGTAATCTGGATTCCAGCTTGTGCTTCATCCAGCCCAGCATTTTGCATGTTGTACTCTGCAGATAAGTTAAATAAGCAGGAGGACAATATACAGCCTTGACATACTACTTTACTTATTTGGAACCAGTATGTTGTTACATGTCCAGCTCTAACTGCTGCTTCTTGACCTGCATTCGGATTTCTCAGGAGTCAGGTCAGGTTGTCTGGCATTCCCACCTCTTGAAGAATTTCCCACAATTTGTTGTGTTCCACACAGTCAAAGGCTTTAGCATAGTCAATAAAGCAGAATTAGATGTTTTTCTGGAACTCTCTTGCTTTTTTGATGATCCATTGGATGTTGGCAATTTGATCTTTGGTTCTTCGGCCTTTTCTAAATCCAGCTTGAACATCTGGAAGTTCACGATTCATGTACTGTTGATGCATGGCTTGGAGAATTTTGAGCATTACTTTGCTAGTGTGTAAGATGAGTGCAATTGTGCAGTAGTTTGGACATTCTTTGGCTGTGCTTTTGTTTGGGATTGGAATGAAAATTGACCTTTTCCAGTCCTGTAGACACTGCTGAGTTTTCCAAATTTGCTGACATATTGAGTAGAGCACTTTCACAGCCTCATCTTTTAGGATTTAAAGTAACTCAGCTGGAATTTCATCACCGCCACTAGCTTTGTTTCTAGTGATGCTTCCTAAGGCCCACTTGACTTTGCATTCCAGGGTGTCTGGTTCTAGGTGAGTGATCACACCATCGTGGTTATCTAGGTCATGAAGATCTTTTTTCTACGGTTTTTCTGTGTGTTCTTGCCACCTGTTCTTAATATCTTCTGTTTCTGTTAGGTCCATACCATTTCTGTCTTTTATTGTGCCCATCTTTGCATGACATGTTCCCTTGGTATCTCTAATTTTTTTGAAGAGATCATTAGTCTTTCTCATTCTATTGTTTTCCTCTATTTCTTTCCAATGATCCTTGAGGAAGGATTTCTTATCTATCCAAAATGTCTTTGGAACTCTGCATTCAAATTGGTATATCTTTCCTTTTCTCCTTTGCCTTTAGCTTCTCTTCCTTTCTCAGCTATTTGTAAGGCCTCCTCAGACAATCATTTTGCCTTTTTGCATTTCTTTTTTGGGGGGATGGTCTTGACCCCTGCCTTCTGTACAACATCATGAACCTCCATCCATAGTTCATCAGGCTCTCTGTCTATCAGATCTAATCCCTTGAATCTGCTTGTCACTTCCACTGTATAGTCGTAAGGGATTTGATTTAGGTCATACCTGAAAGATTTAATGGTTTTCCCCACTTTATTCAACTTAAGTCTGAATTTTGTAATTAGGAGTTCATGATGTGAACCAGAGTGAGCTGGTCTTTTTTTTTGTTTGTTTGTTTTGCTGGCTGTATAGAGCTTCTCCATCTTTGGCTGCAAAGAATATATTCAATCTGATTTCAGTATTGACCGTCTGGTGATGTCCATGTGTAGGGTCTTCTCTTGCGTTTTTGGAAGAGGGTGTTTGCTATGACCAGCGTGTTCTCTTGGCAAAACTCTGTTAGCCTTTGCCCTGCTTCATTCTGTACTCCAAGGTCAAATTTGTCTGCTACTCCAGGTATCTCTTGACTTCCTACTTTCACATTGTAGACCCCTATAATGAAAGGTACATCTCTTTTGGGTGTTAGTTCTAGAAGGTCTTGTAGGTCTTCATAGAACCATTCAACTTCAGCTTCTTCAGCATTACTGGTTAGGGGCATAGATTTGAATTACTCTGATATGAATGGTTTGCCTTGGAAACGAACAGAGATCATTCTGTTGTTTTTGAGATTTCATCCAGGTACTGCATTTTGGACTCTTGTTGACTATGATGGCTACTCCATTTCTTCTAAGGGATTCTTGCCCAGAGTAATAGATACAATGACCATCTGAGTTAAATTCACACATTCCAATCCAGTTTGGTTCACCGATTCCTAAAATGTCCATGTTCACTTTTGCCATCTCCTGTTTGACCACTTCCAATTTACCTTGATGCATGGACCTAACATTCTAGGTTCCTATGCAATACTGTTCTTTACAGCATCAGACTTTACTTGAATCACCAGTTACATCCACAACTGCATGTTGTTTCTGGTTTGGCTCCATCTCTTCATTCTTTCTAGAGTTATTTCTCCACTGTTCTCCGGTAGCATATTGGGCACCTACCGACCTGGGGAGTTCATCTTTCAGTTTTCTATGTTCAGTTTCCTATCTTCACTTTCATGGCAAATAGATTGGGAAAAGTAGAGTGACAGATTTTATTTCCTTGGTCTCCAAAATCACTGCAGATGGTGATTGTAGCCATGAAATTAAAAGACACTTGCTCCTTGAAAGGAAAGCTATGACCAACCTAGACAGCATATTTAAAAGCAGAGACATCACTTTGGTGACAAGTCCGTCTAGTCAAAGCTATGCTTTTTCCAGTAGTCATGTATGGATGTGAGAGCTGGACATAAAGAAGGCTGAGCACAATTTTGAATTGTGGTATTGGAGAAGACTCTTGAGAGTCCCTTGGACAGCATGGAAATCAAACCATTCAATCCTAAAGGAAATTAACCCTGAATATTCATTGGAAGGACTATTGCTGAAGCTCCAATAATTTGGCCACCTGACGGGAAGTGTTGACTCATTGGAAAAGACCCTGATGCTGGGAAAGTTTGAATACAAAAGAAGAAGAGTGTGGCAGAGTGTGAAATGGTTAGATAGCATCACCAAGTCAAAGGACATGAGTTTGAGCAAGCTCTGGGAGATAGTGAAGGACAGGGAAGCCTGGAGTGCTGCAGTCCATGGGGTTGCAAAGTGTCAGACACAAATTTAGTGACTAAATAACACTACCAGCACCCACATTAGTATTCTTGCCTGGAGAATTCCATGGATAGAGAAGCCTAATGGGCTACAGTCTATGGGGTTCCAAAGAGTCAGACATGACTAAGTGACTAAGGGGAGATCATGAGAGGGCTAGAATTCTTGAATAATAAGGCACCTTCAGCCTAATTCATTTGCTGGCTCCTGAAATGATAGTTCCTATTGGCAATGGCTGGTCAGAAACTGTTTTCTTTTTTGCTGCCATGGGTTCCTGGTACTGGCTATGGCTCCCTGCTTTGTTTCTTGACAGCAGCTCTTGCTTGAGGCATCTCCCTTTGAGAAAGACTGTGGAAGCAGGTGTTTGGTGAGTCCCACTCTGGACCCCATTGTGCCTAACCTGGCTGAAGGCTACAGGTGTTTCTTTTAGCTTCAGCAGTGGTTTGCTCTGGATGTGGTTCCTTGTGCCCACCACCTCTCCTTTGCTCTCACTTTTCCTCCTACAGGACCACCTTCCTCTTCTGCTCATTCAAATGCCACCCATTCACAGCTCAGCTTAGTTTCACTTCTTTCCTAGAATTCAAAAACATAGAATGTATTCATTTTTCAATCCAGGATTTCCTTGTTCATTAACTTTTCACACAAGGCATATCATATTTCTCTTAGTGCATATGACAAATCTGTAAATGTATGGTCCATGATAGATACTTTTCTATGGGGCTTAAAAATTTTTTGAAAAATACTGACACTATTGATATAATTCAGTAATATCTAATGAACACCTGTAATGACTATGGCTCTAGTCACCCAGTAACTATTCCTGTTTCCCTAGCTGCTGATGACATTGTATATGTTTCCAGACCACAATGATTCATTATGAGTTGATAGTACAGTATTCTGAAGGCTAAAACGTATCCTAAATTATTTTCTAGTTAAAATAATTTTGAAAATACTGGAGATATATATATGTGTGTGTGTATATATATAATATATATATATGTATATTTATTTTAGTTAAAATAATTTTGAAAATATTGGAGATATAGATATATATAGAAAAGAAATATGTGCATATTTCTTTTCTGCAATATACTTTGGGACTTTATTTTATTTTATTTCATTTGGCATTGTGAAGTTTAGAGTTAACAAAGTATGGAGCATTTACCAAAAGTTCTTTGACCACAGAGCTTTTCTTTTTCTTTTCCCCTTGAAACTTATTGAGAGATTAGAACTATATATTTTTGGAAATACTGGATTGAATATCTAATCTTCCCAGGGGTGATCTTCATTTTGATGGGAAACTCTAGAAGACCAGAAAGACTTCATGACGCTCTAATTGTGGAATTTCAGGCATTAAGAAAGTCAGGAAAGTTTTGAAGGGGAGGAGAGACTGTTCTGGCACAGGTCTGATGTATCCTGCCTGATAACACTGCCCTTCTGATGACCTCATGGAAGATCTTATTAAGAGCTCCGACTTGCAGTAGGCTGTCCTGATTTGGATTCAAGCTGAATTGTTCTATTATTCACAGACTTCATGTTATCACTTGCCCCGCCTCTCCCCCACTTCAGAGCTGTGCTCCTTCCCTGAGAATTTCTTGTTGAGCTTAGAAAAGCAGTCTGAGAAATTGCATAACTCCTCCATTCTCAGAAAAGATATCCTTAGTTTTGAGCCTAAAATCAGGATCCTATCTTAAGAGAAGACATTGCCTGTCTGGTTGGAGAATGCTTCAAGGTTATCAACTCAATGCGTGTCCATTGAGCAACCAAAATGTGCAAAGTCCTATGCTTTATGTTTGCCTAATATCATACATAGTTTCCCCTGTTCCTTAGGAACAATCTGGATTAATGGAACAAACCTAAATTTAGTCATCTGATTGCTTAATGTTTAACCAAATGTCATAGTCTTCTTATTTAGAATGCAAAATGAAAGCAAAACAATATCTTTGTTGAGGTCACCACTAAAATTGTTTTCTATATAAGTTGTGCATATAATTGGATCATGATCTGTCTCTAAAGCTTTCTGCTTCAGAAGACTGTCATGCAGTCCTTTATTAAAAACTCTATTCAGAGATGTGGAAGTCTCCTGTGGAGTATACATACTAAACTATTAGACTGTGATCATTAGTTTTTTATGGATTACCCAGTCAGTAAATGTTAATAAATGTGGTTGATATATTCATTTAAAATAATCAATATTAAAGAAATTTCATGGATGCTTTTCTGGTAGGAAATTGTTATTTTCTATCTCAACTTATCTTTTGGAAACGTTATTACCACTAATGTAATTCACTTCTCCCAGGGCTCAATAATGCCACATAACCATTATTTCACTAATTTTTCTTCATTATAAAATTTTTTAGATACAAGAAAGATGCAATTATGAATACACAATGATAAAGAGATGGGCAGTAATCAAGAGTCATTTCTATACCTTTATAATGTGTGTGCTAAGTTGTGCTAGTCACGTCTGGCTTGTTGCAATCCCATGGACTATAGAGCACCAGGCTCCTCTGTCCCTGGGATTCTCCAGGCAAGAAAACTGAAGTGGGTTGCTTGCCCTCCTCCAGGGCATCTTCCCGACCCAGAGATCGAACCTGAGTCTCTGTCTCACTGCATTGTCAAGTGGGTTCTTCACCACTAGTGCCACCTGGGACGCCCACATAATAGGCAAACTTATTAATAGGCCTTTGCAAAGAAAAGGTTATTATCTCTCCTTTTTTTTTTTCCTTCTTCTCCCTATTGGGATAATTTGTTGTTTACTGAGCTCAGACTGGGCTTCACTTCGTGTTGTCCTATTTTCGGACTTGGCCATCTTGATCTGGGTGTGTCTTAGGGGAGGGGGTGTTTGTGAAGTGGAATTTGCTGTGTAGGGAGCTGGCCTGAGACTGGTGGACAGTGGAGAGGACCACTGGGGCGGGGGTCTGCCCCCCAGCCAGCCCTGGGGACTAATCCCAAGGCTTGTGAAGAAAAAGAAGGAACTGAAAGAGCTGTTTGAACTCACGGACTGGTGAAGAAGCAGGAGGCGGGCCCGCTGCCTGAGCACCCTGGATGAGAAGGGAACCGTGCATTTGTTGGCTATCCTAGTCTGCTGGGCTAGCGCAAGTTTATTCTTCTGTCTTGGGGTAACTATTAGATAGAGCCCTTCTCGCTCTCAGAATTATTCAAGCTAAGAAAATAAACTATATATTCACCCTCAACAGAGAGTGAGGCAGAAAAGAGATTCTGTCCTTGGGGATCGAGGAAGGAATAGTGCATCTCAGGGCAGAGGGCTCAAGGGAAGGCATCTCACGGAGGGAGGGCCTGGGCGCTGGTGACCAGTGTTCCCCAGTCGGCTCTATGGATGCCAAGATCACTTACTGGCCCCACTGGAAGAACGTGAGCTGATCTATTTGGGGGCACGTGGAGAGTTACCCTGAGGGCTACCTGACATCCTGAAGAGAGACTTGTTAGGAGGGACTTTTTCTCATGTGACCTCATTTGATCTCCAGGCTGGTGAGGCAGGGGGCACCTAACACAGGGCCTGGCAATAACCGCAAGGGCCTGTATTAATTCTGAGAGTTTGTTTAATGCATTCAGCAACATTTTTGGAATGGGTAAGATTCAACCACAGTGAATCTTAAGTAGTTTCCCCAAGTTAAATGGATCTAAATAATGCTGAATCCTTTATCAAATAGTAGTGTTCAGCGATTTATCAGTCTGAATTTGGGTCTCTTGAAATCCTGAAGCTTCCATCTGAAGCAGTCACTCAACGTCTCTCATAGTGATGACAAGATCAGAATGATGACTAAGTTGCTTCCAGGTGTGGAGCCAGTTTGAAAATAACTATAGTGCATTTTTGACTGATTAGCTCATGCTCTCACTTTAATATGATCATGTCTGTCTGATTTATTTTTATTATGTTATATAACCAAAACTTCTCCCAACACAGGAATAAAAATAGAGAGAACTGCCATAAGTGGTTATGTATTATTTGTTCTAGGGATGGTTTCATATTTTGCTGGTTCTCAGAGAACTGTCTTAAATTTACTTGTGCTTCATCATCATAAGGGTTAAAATCAAACTATGACTGTCACTTTTGTTTTCTGTGATTTAACTTTTGGATTGAAAAGGATAGTTTGCATTAATGCCCTGAATAAGTTAATTAGAAAAAAAATTCAACTAATCTAAAAGAACTGATGTACCTCCCCAAGATGACTAATCAATTTCTGGACTTCCCCCACTATCAACTATTTTTTTATTGGTATATATAAAGGTTGTTTCCTTATTAGTTTAGTTAGTCACTCAGTCATGTATGACTCTTTGCGACCTCATGGACTGCAGCATGCCAGGCTTCCCTGTCCTTCAGTATCTCCTTGAGTTTGCTCAAACTCACGTCCATTGAGTCAGTGATGCCATCCAACCATCTCATCCTCTGTTACCCCCTTCTCCTCCTGCCCTCAATCTTTCCCAGCATCAGGGTCTTTTCCAATATGTCGGCTCTATGCATTAATAAAAAGCTTTTTTTTGCTTTCCACATTTTTTGTGTGTATAGGATTCACTCTCTTAAAGAAAGACACTAAGTTATTTTAAGTATTTTAGCCCCTAAGCACAATAACTAGCAAATACTGATATCTATGAACATCCTTTGCATTCATGTACTTTAATTTTATATTGTATATTTGTTTCTTGGTATATTGACTCAATATTATGAATTATTCTGTTTTTAAATAATCTGATTATTCCATTTTCCCAAAGTTTTTTATGTTCAACTCTTCCATATTTGTATACTGTGTATTTATATTCCCCTTTTTATTTTATAATGTCTTAAGTAAAGAAACAAAGCAGAGACATTACTTTGTTGGTAAAGGTCTGCCTAGTCAAAGCTATGGTTTTTTCCAGTAGTCATGTATAGATATGAGAGTTGGACCATAAAGAAAGCTGAGCACTGAAGAATTGATGCTTTTGAACTGTGGTGTTGGAGAAGACTCTTGAGAGTCACTTGGATTGCAAGGAGATACAACCAGTCAATCCTAAAGGAAATCAGTCCTGAATATTCACTGGAAGGGCTGATGCTGAAGCTGAAGCTCCAATACTTTGGCCACCTGATGCGAAGAGCTGACTCATTGGAAAAGACCCTGATTCTGGGAAAGACTGAAGGCAGGAGGAGAAGGAGATGACAGAGGATGAGATGGTTGGATAGCATTGCCAACTCAATGGACATGAGTCTGAGTAAGTTCTGGGAGTTGGTGATGGACAGGGAAGGCTGACGTGTTGCAGTTCATGGGGTCGCAAAGAGTCCTACATGACTGAGTGACTGAACTGAACTATTTTTATTATTGAATTTTTCTGTTGTACTCTCAGCCTTTTTTAAAAACAAGAAAGTAAATGTGAAAAATGATTGTTTAGTGTTGACTGAATTATTTGGGTATCGAAATTATCTGACTATTGCATCTTTTTAAAGTAGCAATGATCTAATTGCAAAAGAAGTGCATTCCTCAGGCCTTTGGCTTTTCTCCCTTACAGTAACCTGTTCAACTGTGTATCACCTTTCATCTTCTCTAGATCTTCCTCCACAAAATACCTCCTTTTATTCC